GTGCTACTTTAAGTGATGAAGTTTTAAAATTATTATTATTCATTACTGCAGATATTCAAAGAGAAGATAAGTCTTCTAATTCAGAGGTTTTCCCTCATACCTCAACTCCTCCTCTGACCCTAAGCCTTAACCCCAAATGTCTGCACTGTTTATGTTCCAAACATCTTATTAGTGTCTTTCTCATGGCACTTGGCACCTGTTGTCTCTAGTGTGGTTATTCAATCCTCTGACACTGTCCTTTACTAAGGATAGGAAGTGAGTCTACTTCATTTTGCGGTCATTATTACCTTCCTAACATGGTCTTACAAACTGTAGGTTTGTAAGACTTACAAACTGTAGGTGCCCATGAAGCAGCATGTTATTGCTCCTTCAGAGAATTTCAATGTTGTTTACCCCCATTTCACTACCTATTAACAACATGACATTGGGCAAGCCAATTCTAACCTCTGTGTCTGTTTCCTCAGCCATAACACTGAGTAACTAACTGGAGTTTTTGTGACAATCAAATGTGTTAAATCTATGAAACTTTGAGGACAGAGCCTGGCACAGAGCTTGTAAGACATGTCTTGTGTTGCTGTAAATTTTGAGGCCCTAACTCCCCAATGAGACTTTGAGATCTTTGAGGAGATGGCCCTCATCCTGTGTTTGGTCCCTAAACTGATGTGTGGCACGTGGTAGATGATTGCTCTATGCTTGTTGAAATGAATGCCTAAGTACGAAAGGGTGAGGGAAAGCCTCAACAATTGAAGATGTTAGAATTTGAGAGGACCTTTGGGGGTCACCCTGAACAGTGAATCTTAGTCCAACTGCATGTCAGTGTATTTCGGTACTGTTGGTATAAGTTAGAGTGCATGCCAATTTCCAGATTCTGGACCCCAGCCTGGAACACAATCTTCTGAGTAGCACCTCAGGAATCTGAATCTTACTTGGCTTTCCTAGGCATTTTCTGGCAGCCAGCCCAGCACTTTCCTTCGATTGTCTTTTATTTTATGGATAAGAAAACTGAGGCACAGAGAGGTTGTATTATCCCAGGATCAGGATGCTTAGGAGAGATCAAGTGAGACTAGAACTCAGCTTACCTGACATCTTAGCCACTGGGTTGTATAGGGGATCTTTGGATTGTGTGAAGAGGTTAGATAGGATAATTTCCCAGATACCTCTGCCATTAGCCAGGCGGTCCTTTGAGTTGTTGAGTGCCTACACATGCCAGCTGCCGAACAGATTTCTGGGATGTCCAGAGAAATGACACAGGCATCCTTTTCCTGTAAGACTTTATAGTCTGGTGCAAGAAATAAGACACAGAAACCATGGTGCAAGGTGGAAAGTGACAAGGAGGGAGGTCTGGAAAACTGTCCACCCAGTGGGAGCTGAACTGCTTGACCACCATCTTGTGTCCTGAACATCATGGCAGGAAATTTTTCTCTCTTCACAGGGGCAATCCCTTACACTGTGGCCTCTCTTTCTACACTTCCACAGGGCCCTTTGGTCTAGAGTTCATTACCCGGGTCATTTGACCACTCTGAGGAGACCTCTCTTTCTACTCTCATAGCTTCCTGTCACATGGAGTTTCACTTATGCTCTATGCGCTTCTGTATTTAATAAGTAGTACTGATTGCCTGTTACTGGTAACTAAAATTTCTTGAATTAGCTAATATTAATGACATTTATTGAGTGCCCACTATGTAGCAGGCACTGCTTTAAGTTTTTATCTGTGTTAATTCACTTAATACTATGTCAAAAGAAGAGGCCACTGATCAAAATCTGAAACAATATTTGAAGTTGAATTTATTGGTTGTTCAACAAGGAAATCCATACATCTCTTCGAGTAAAGCAAAAGTTGAACTTATACAGAGCTTTGAAGGCACAGGGTTGAGGAATTGGTGGAAATTCAGAAGTCAGAGTTTGGAGGTTGACTGCCTTTCACATTTGGAAGTGTAGTTCCTAGGGTGAGGTTTGATGCGCTGACTTTCAGAAGTCAAATGCCTACAAGAAAGGGAAGGAGAGAGCATAAAGTGAGTGGCTGCAGCAAAAATATAGAGGGGAGAGGAAAGTGAGAGTCTTTATTTGCAGTTTCCTTTCACAGTCCAGAGACCACAACTCAGCTTTTCCTGTTGACCCTGTTCCTTGGTTCTTCTGTTCTCTACTGTGTCTTCTCTAGGCCATGAATTGTATGAATTGTATTCTACATCGAGCCCATCCCTAGCCAAAGGTGTCTCCTGCTCAGTTAGGTCAGGTAACCTGCAATGGCATCTCAGAGAAGGGGGACATTATCCCTCATTGGTTGAAGGAATTTTTTAGTAGCCAACAATTTTTTGTCGAACTCCTATAAAGTGCTGGTCACATTCTGGGTGCTACAGAAACAAAAGTGAAACCAACAGACACAAGCTTACACTATTAGAGAGCCAAACCTCTACTGGAGAGACAGATGCTTAGACAAATAAATGAATAAGTATATATGATCTGTCACATGGTGGTCACTGGTTTTGCATTTGATGGTGGTTTGGACTAAGGAGGTAGGGGAGTGGGTAATGAAAAACAGATTCTGGATATATCCTTCATGGAAGAGTCTTCCCACTGAAAAACTTCATTATTAACCACCATATACTCTAGCAGTTGGATTGGAAGACCTGGGTATGGATCCCAGAAGGTTATAGTTTGGCCTACTAAACCATCTCCAGAGGGTCTTTTCCAACCTGGGAAAAGGCAGGGGGAGAAAGAGGCACATTATTATATCTGGCAATAGAAATAGAATGTATCGGGCGCCTGGGTGGCTCAGTTGGTTAAGCGACTGCCTTCGGCTCAGGTCATGATCCTGGAGTCCCGGGATCAAGTCCCACATCGGGCTCCCTGCTCAGCAGGGAGTCTGCTTCTCCCTCTGACCCTCTTCCCTCTCTTGCTCTCTATCTCTCATTCTCTCTCTCTCAAATAAATAAAATCTTTTTTAAAAAAAGAAATAGAATGTATCTATCAAGAAAAGTGGCATTATCTATATCCAATTTTTCATAGTTTTTTATTGTATTTTCTCATAGATAATTGCATGAAATATGGGGATTTCTTAAATTGATTGCTGTGGAGACAAAGATGACTTAAATTTCAATTTCACTGCTTTTCTGGTTGCAAGTGGGTGTTTGACATTTTTTAGTGTGTGTGTGTGTGTGAGAGAGAGAGAGAGATCGACTCTGCGAGAGCTATAGAGTGGCTGCTATTCCCTGAACGATAAAAACCTGAAATTCTACTAATCAGGTTAAGAAAACTAACTTTTTCTGTGCACCTAATAATAGCACTGCCTACTGACATAACCAGGGTTCCCTGAATAATTGCCCTCTTTTTCCAGTTTATTTTTAGGATTAAAATTTGGGGGAGGAAAGTGCCTTTAGGTTTACAGTTTTTCCATCTAAAAGCTCAATTCCAAGGCTTTACCATTTGGCCCTAAACCATGTTGAATGTATCCTTTCAAGTGAAAGATAAGTAAAAGTGGAGGACGGAACTAAAATTCATCATTGGAGCTCTGGATGGTTTAGCCTTCAGGGTGAGAATAAAAGATTGATCCTTCGCTGCAGACCCCGTCTTTCCCAAACTGGGGAATCAGCCTGTGCCATATTTATCTGCCTCCATGGACACCGTTTGAGTTTGCCAGTAATAGAAGCAAAGGGTTTATAAAGCCACAGAATTTTACCAAAACATATTCTTTTGAGGAAAAGACAGACTTGGGGGATAATAAATGTTAATACTGCTAGAGCCCTCGGTAAGCATAAAAATATTTGAAATACCTATGGACCATCAGCATATTTAAGGTAGATTGCAAAATCTAAGTAAGGCACTGTGCTGGGTGTGGTGCTGAAAGATAGTTTTTAAAAAACTGTTTCTGTAAATTTCCACAACTCAATGAACACGGTATGTACCTTACAGGGAAGAGAGAGAGACATTGATTCAAGAAAGAATAAAATTGAAGAATAAAATCGAATCCAACCTTGTGGCAGATATTGGTGGAATATTTAGATTCATTTGCCAGAATTATTTTTGGGGAGGGCTATTTTGGATAGGCAGTATCCTTTCTTCTCAGATATAGATTTCCATGTTGACTTTTAACCTTTAGTTGCTGACTGGCAATTGTACAGTCCTGAAGACGTTCTATTCCATCCTTCTGCCTGTGCCCAGACTGCAAGTTTGAAAAGTTTGAGGGCATCAAATGTGGGTTTACACCAACCATCACGCGACTCACTTTCTTTTTTTTTTAAAAGATTTTATTTATTTATTTGAGAGAGAGAATGAGAGAGAGAGTGCACATGAGAGGGGGGAGGGTCAGAGGGAGAAGCAGACTCCCCGTTGAGCAGGGAGCCCGATGCGGGACTCGATCCCGGGACTCCAGGATTATGACCTGAGCCGAAGGCAGTCGCTTAACCAACTGAAACACCCAGGCGCCCACGACTCACTTTCTTTTATTCTCCATTCATAGGAGAGTGGCTGAGTATGTGGACAGAGGGGCTTTCAGGGACAAAGCAGTGTCTTTGATATAAAGGGTCATTTAAACATGAGCTTAAAATGTAAAATTAAGAGAGGTGATATGTCAATAATTTTTTCTTCTTTAGGAATGACTTATTCCTACAAAGTGGATAAATGGCAGTCCTTAACAGATTACAAAAGAGTGTGTGTGCACAAAATAGACACGGGCTTGTGTCTAAAATGATCTTTCTGTGCATGGGATTGAAAGGTGTTTGCAAGAATGAGTAAAACGGGTTGAATTTACATTTCACATTTACATTTTCTCCACAATCACTGATGCCAAACAATATGCTGCAGGGTATCTTTCCTTAACCCTATGATGCCATCGGAAACCATAAATAACTGTCCGCTTCAATGCCCCAAATGTATTAAAAGAAGATATGCCATTTGAAGCTGGGATAGTGGTCCATGTTGCCCCTTGTGCTTTTTTGTGATCTAATTAGATTATGTCTCAAACACGATTTTTTTGTGTGCTTTCAGGAGATACGCATCCACAAGAGATGATTCCAAGTAAGAAGAGCGCTGTTCTTGTGGATGGCGTTGTACTGAATGGCCCCACGACAGATGCAAGAGCAGGAGAAAAGTTTGTTGAAGAGGCCTGTAAGCTAATAATGGAAGAGGTGGTTTTGAAGTCTATAGATGTCAACGAGAAGGTAAAGCTAAAAGATATCTATTAGAAATCCCTGGAATGGGAAAGATAGGTTCTTTCCAAATGTGATGGTTAGATGTAAGGGAAGTGGGAAGCTCATGCTATGATGGTCTCTATACATTTGTATCAACGGGATCCCAGCTACCAAAGTGGGATCCCACCAAGTATCAGCTTTCCTGGAGGTGTTGGCTGTTAACTTTGCCAGCCATCATTTGTTGGGAGACCGGCTGAGACCCCAGGCCTTGAGGGCATGAAGCACAGGGATGAAGCCTTCTGCTCTATAACCATATAGATTGTAAATAACTGGATGATCTTGATGTATACACTCTCTGAAACATACTCTGCTCTCCATTTTCTTGGGCACCTCCTTTTTGTTTCTAGTAAAAAATAAGCATAATGTGGGAAAGAGTATGAAAAAATTTTAAATTTATCTGAGGATCCTTCCCAGGAGCTGGTCGGAGCTTAGACTGGAAAACTTGGATTGTTAAGTCTGACTTCTGACTGGCACCAGTTACTGGTTCTAGGTCTCAAATTCAGGCTCAAGTTCAGATTCAAACTGATAATGCAATTATTACTAATGACTTCTACTTTTTTAAAAAAGATTTTATTCATTTATTTGAGAGAGAGAGAGAGCACAAGAAGGGGGAGTGGCAGGCAGAGGCAGAGGGAGAAGCAGGCTCCCCGCTCAGCAGGGAGCCCGATGTGGGGCTCGATCCCAGGGCCCTGAGATCATGACCTGAACCGAAAGCAGCCGCTTAACCGACTGAGCTACCCAGGCGCCCCAAATGACTTCTACTCTTAAGAGTACTTACTGTGTGTCAGATGATGTTCTCAGGACTACTCCATATGAATTTGTGTATTTAAGTCTTACAAAAACACTAAGAAGTAGGGGCTATATGTTAACTCTGTTTTAGGGACGAGGAAAGAAGTGAGGCACAGGGAGGTCAAGTACTTTGCCCAAGATCACATGTCAGTGAGTACCAGAGCTGGCACTAAAATCCAGGCAGTCTGGCTTCAGTCTGGGCCTTTAACTTCTCTTGTATGTCTCTTACAATCGCTAAATTATCCTTTATCACATTGATTATCTTTCATATTGAAATTGAATTATCAGCAAATAGAGGAGGGGTTTTTATTCCAATTCTGTTAGTCAAAAATAAATGTCATTTAAAAAAAAGATTTTGTATGTGAAGTGGTATTTATTCTGAATTTTTGATCACGTGCATTTGAGAAAACTAATAGGGATATAGATCAAAATATCCTGTAAATTTAGAATAGCTATATTCAAGGCAAAAATCACTGATGGTATTTCTTGATATATATTTATAATTGCATATTTTCTGGTCTTATCTGTACTTGTGAAATATTTTGGACCTGCTTTACTTTGGAGCACACTGCTTTTCTGGTAAGCTTTTTTTCTTTTTTAATTGGCCTTTATTCAGTCATTAAATATTAACTGAGTGTTAGCTACGGGTAAGCCATTATATTTGGCCCTGGGGGATATAAAGACAAATAAGATAAAGGCTCAGCTTTGAACAGAATTTACAGTCTAATTGGAAGGATAAGTTTTCATTGAAAAAGAGAACAGGGGGTCCCAGTAAGAATGTGATAAATGGGTGTGATGGGGGCAGACTTCCGGGATTTCATAGAGGAGAGGGTGCTCTGAGCTTTGAGGTGGGATGTGAAGGTCAAGTAAGATTTTGTTGGGCAGGGAGAAGTTGACCCATGTGTGTTGAGGAAAGCAGGAAGGTAAAGTTTCCTTTTCCTTGCAAAAGGAAACTTTCTGCCTAGAAGGAAGGGCTCATATAGGTGACTAATGGAAGGTAAGACAAGAAGGAGAGGCTTAAGATCCTAAGACATCAGTGAAGGAACCCCATGTTGATTGCAGTATAGTAGCCCTGCAGGCTATCCACCTGAAGTTGGGTTGAAAACTATGTTGCAGTTGGGGGGAGGAGGTGGAGTTTTTATGCTACCAACTTCGGCTAGCTTTGTCAGAGATCCAACAGGCACCATTAAAAGGTGACCTTCAGATACATCCCCGTACTTTGTGAGATGATTACTTCTAGCACTTTCTCTTGTAGATATTCTTTCTCAGCCACTTTTTTAAAAAATTGAGTTATACTTTACATCTAGTAAAATTTGCTCCTTTTTTGGTGTGGAGTCATATGAGTTTGCTAAGTCATGTAACTACACCACAATCAAGATATAGAGCAGTTCCATCACCCCCAAATTTCCCTGTGCCCCTCCATAGTCAGCCCTGCCCCCTACCTTAGCTCCTGACAGCCGCTGATCTGTCTTCTGTGCCTGTATTTTTCGCCTTCTCCAGAATGTCAGACAGGTGGAATCTTATCACAAGAAGCCCTCTGAGTCTTGCAATTTTCCCTCCGCAAAATGCATTTGAGATTTAATCATGTTGTTGTGTATATAGGGATACCTCATTTCACTGCATTTCATTTTCTTGCGCTTTGCAAATAGTATGATTTTTACAATTTGGAGGTTTGTAGCATCTCTGCATCCAGCAAGTCTATCGGTGCCGTTTTTTCCAACAGCATTTGCTCACTTTGTGTCTCTGTGTCAACTTTTGATAATTCTCACAATATTTTAAATGTTTTCATTATCATTGGACTTGTTACATATTATAACATATTATAAAACATATTATATATACTATAACATCATATCATAAAATATAACAATATTTTTTTATAGTTTGTTATAACCAGGGATCTCTGATGTTACTCTTGTAATTGTTTTGAGGGACCACAAACTGCACCCATATAAGACAGTGAATTTACTGAAAACATTGTGTGTGTTCTGACTGTTCTACTCACTGGCAGTTCCCCTGTCTCTCTCCCTCTCCTTGGGTCTCCCTATTCTGAGACACAACAAGATTGAAATAAGGACAATGAATAACCCTGCAATGGCCTCTAAGTGTTCATCTGAAAGGAAGAGGTGCACATCTCTCAATTTAAATCAAAAGCTAGGAATGAAGCAGCTTAGTGAGGAAGGCACTTGGAAAGTTGACATGGGCCAAAAGCTAGGCCTTTTACCCCAAACAGTTAGCAGCATTGTGACTACAAAAGGAAAAAAGTTCTTGAAGGAAATTAAAAGTGCTACTCCAGCAAACACAAGAATGATAGGGAGTAAAACAACCGTATTGCTGATCTGGAGAAAGGTTTAGTGGTCTGGATAGGTCAGACCAGCCACAACATTCCCTTAAGCAACACCATCTCAAGGCTGTGTCGTTGGAGCAGCCTCTGGGAGCGGGAGACACAAGCAGAACCCACATTCCAGGGACGGGGGAGGGGGTGAGGAACCTCCAAGGGCCCAGGTCCAGCTTGTAGGTCATCTGATGGTCATCTCTTCTTAATGACCTCTTCCAACAAGTATTTTTTTTTAATTCAGGTATGTAAATTTTTTAGACATCGAATTTGTTATTGCACATCGAATGGACTTGATGGTCCAGGGTAAACATAACTTTTATATGCCCTGGGAAACCAAAGTCTTTGTTTGACCCACTTTATTTCAATATTCCCTTTATTGAACCAAACCTGCAGTATCTCTGAGATATTCTTCTATCAGTAGTCATTCCTTTGGATTGTCTTAGTCACTTTTGATTTACCTCTGCCTATTATGGTTCTCACATCAGAGTTTAATTTCATACCTCTTGTACAACTCAGTATTTCTTCCTGCTTTCCCCAACCTCCCACCTCCTAGTCTCCTGACTTCCTGGCTACTCCCCTGTCTCTCTCCTCCCCTCCACAGCCGAACTTTTTAAAGATTGTCTATGCTCCTTCCCTCCCTCTCTTTCCTCACCTCCCACACCCTCACTCCATGGCAATCTGGCCTCCACTCCCACCTCTCTAAGTCAAACGGCTCTTGCCAAGAACACCTCCTTGTTGATAAATCCCATGAGCACTTCTCAGTCTTTATCAAATTGGGCTTCTCAACAGGATTTAATAGTGATGACCGTCTTCTCCTTAAAACATTCTGTTTTCTTTGTTTTAGTAACACTGAACTCTTCTCAGATTGTCCCTGCTTCTCTGGCTTGTCCTCCACCTCACAAGTGAGCTCCTCTCCCCTTGCCCATATCTTAAGCGGTGGTGGTGTCCAGGGGAGATCCCGTGCCTTTCCTCTTAGTGGTAGATTCTGAATGTGTCCCCCATGGTGTATTATCATGGTGGATGTCTGGCACTGTGTTCTTGGTCTTTCACAAGAGCTTCAGACCAACTGCTGCACCCCTTTTAGATGTCCTGAGGGGCCTCAGACTACATATGCCCAAAGCTCATCATCCCCACCCCACCCCGAACCGAATTCTTTTCCTCATCACCACCATCAACCCATGTGTGTAAGCTACAGATGGCAGGGTTGTCCTTGGCTCATTCCTCACCTTCATCTTTGCCATGTAATTAATTTCTGAGTTTTGTTGTTTCTGCATTTTAAATATCTCTGGAAATACTTCATTCCAATAATATTTACCTCATCCAGAATACCACCTTCTCTTGCCTGGTTTATTACAGTCACCTCTTATTTCCGATTTTACTTGGAATCTCCATATAGCAACTAAAGCTATTGGCCAAAACACAAGCATGTTCATATCATTCCCCTGTCCAAAACACTTCAACGGCTGCCCTAGAACCAAGTTCGAACTCTGTAACATGCCACAGAAATCTGTCATGATCTGACTCTCATTTCATTCATTCATTCATTCATTCATTCACTCATTCATCTTTTCATTCACCACATCGTTGTGGAGCGTCTCTTGTGTGGTAGGAACTGTATTCGTTACTTGAGAGCAGTGAGCAAACAGATGGACATCTCTGCTCTCATGGAGACTATGTGGGACAGAATAAATGAATTACATGGTATGTTGAAAGATGAGAAGTGGGATGGAAAAAGGAAGAGCAGGAAAAGTTAAGGGGCTGATAAGGCTGCGGTAATGTGGAGCTTATGACTTGAAACAGGGGAATCAGGGTTGCTATCTTTGAGAAAGTGATTTTTTGAGCAAAGCTTTGAAAGAACTGAGGAGGTTAGGCAGGAGGACATTTGGGGCAGGAGTATCCAGGCAGAAGGGACAGCCAGTGTGAAGACCCTAAGGGGGAGAGTGTGCCTGGTGTGTTTAAGGAACAGCAAGGAGATCAGGGTGGTGGGGCAGGGTCAGCCAGGAAGAAGACAGTGCTAAACTGGAGAGGAAACTCCATGAAGGAAAGCAGATTATACAGGTTCATTTGAAGTCATTATGAGGACGTTGGCTTTACTTTGAAAGAAGTGAGCCACTGAGATATTTTAGCAGAGGAACGGCGGTAGCTTAGATTTAAGAGGATCATTCCAGATTCTGGCTGCCAGGTTGATAGCCTGTACAGGTCAAGGGTAAGGGTACAAGCAGAGAGACTAGCGAGGAAATTATTTTGGCATTCCAGCCTCCCTTCTTGCCTCTCCTTCTTCCAACCCCATGTTCTAGCCACACCAAACTACCTTCGTTCTTCAGATGTGCCTTTTCAGCCTTTACGACCTCTGTTCCCACTTGCCTTCCCCCGTCCCCTAATCTTTGCTTGGTTAGAAATCAGTTCCTACAGGAAATCTTTGACCTTCCAAACCAAAGATGGGGCCCCTCATTTGTTCCAATGACATCTGGGTCACCATCCCAGATTTTTCCCCCTCGACTAGGGTTGTACATTTAAATCTCAGTCTCTCCCACTTGTCTGGAATCTTCGTGAGGGTAGGGTCCATGATGCTAACATCCTCTCACTACCTGGCTCCCGTGGGAGCTCAATTAACTGCCATTGCTGAATGTCCAGGTTTGTGAGTGGCGGCCCCCTGAACAGCTGAAACAACTTCTTGATTTGGAGATGAGGGACATGGGAGAGCCACACCACAGGCTGTTGGAGCTCTGCCAAGATGTCATACGCTACAGCGTCAAAACTAGTAAGACCTTTCATTTGCCTCCTTGATCTGTATCCCTAACAAGTTCTTATATTTTCTTCAGCACATACTTAACTCATAGTAAAGCTGAGTATGACAATGTTTCCGGGATAAGAAAGCTGGATCAAAAAATAGTGGTTCTGATATTTTTACAATGGGCCACTTAATCCATAATACAGACTTTTTTTTTTTTTTTTTTTTGTCAAGGCAAAGATACATGGATAGAAAAACTGTTGGTGTTAGTGATCATTCAGAAATACGATCTACTCCTTGGCAATCCCCATCCTCCATTTATAATCAAGACCATATGTGATGACTGCTACTTATCATTTCTTACGTTGGTCCAAACTGGCAAAGCATGTTTGATTATAGAATTCGTTAAGGGATTTCAAGTCTTAATGGCCCAGAATGTGCAAAAAAAAAGAAAAAGAAAAAAAAGAAAAAATGTTCAGGAGGATGTTTTTACTATAAACAGGAATAGATGGGAAGATAGTGATGGAATCTTGGCAGTTGCTAATTGCCAAATTATTTTATCAAACCTAGCAGGATCAAAAATAAAAACCTTTAGGAAAGTGTAAAAGGAAATGAATACATGGTAAGTTTCTGCTGTGATAGTTTCGCCATAATGCTTAACCACTACGATCTTTTGTCAGTGCAGTAGCATGGTATTGGTCTTGTGCTGACACACTAGTCCAGCTGCTAGTATCCCGTATACCCAGTGAACAAGTTCCAGAGTAAGGAAGGAACTTTCCAAAATATGCATTTCGCAGTGTGCTGTAAAGGTAATCTAGTGATTAAGACCATGCAGGCATTATGCTTTGTGAATTCTGACACTGAACTAAATTTAGTGGAAAGAACATAATAAAATCCTGGCTAAAAATAATTGGTTTATATTCCCTTGGGAAAGTCTGGTGTATGTATCAAAAACCCAGTTAGCATTTCAAAAGCAGAGATACATATCTTATTATTATAGTGCATGTCAGAAGTGTAGAATGACATTTAATGCAGAAGATTTTTCAGTTTACTGGATATTTTCCATAATGTTACCATGGAAATCAATCATAAATTAACACGAAACTAAAAAAAAAAAAAATCTTATTAAAATTACTTGCAGCAACATTTGGTTTTCTTTGCCAGATTAAAGGAAGTTTTCCATATTTTATTTAAAAAATTTTTTTCTTGGGCTTTTGTTTTTTATTGAACCCCTAGTTTAAAGAGAAAAAAACCCTAAAACCAAATGCTGTGAGTGGTACTGAGAAGTCACTAACTAAAAAGGTTCCCAAATACTCAAATTTAGAAACAGACCTCCTGCCTTCTTGTTCTTTGTCATGCTGGGCTTCCTATGATTGAGAATGTCAAGTCAGTTAGCCTAGTGTTTGGTGTGAATATTCACACTGTGGAAAGCCAAGAACCTTTATGAGACCTTTTATAGAGGGGAAAAAAAATAGAAAGTTGGAACTGAAGTTGAGTCTTAAAGGCTACTGCCTTTGAAGTAAGTTGAATTAGAAAGTTTATGTAAGCCACATGATGAGTCACATCTTACTCCCATCTACATAATGTCAGTTGCACTATGAAAAATGGTCCAATCTGAAAAATGAAAAGGCCACTCACTGCTGGAAGCCCGAAGTGAACTCTGTTGGTGAGTGAAATGCGTTTAAAGATAGGGAAGATAGGGATTATCTTCTGAAGATAAAGGTAGCAGGCTTTGATACCTGCACAAATAGTTTGAGTAATCCAGTTCTCAAGGGTTCTGGTTTGGAGCTGGGGTGTAGAAAAAAGGGAGTAAATAAACCAGAGTTTTTAAGAGAGTGCCCAAGTGTTGCTTAGAAACATTATTGTTTAGAAGACAGGGTTATGAGGTGGGTCTTCAAAATTTGTTCCCCTTGCACATGATTAGATTTTGAATTCTTTTTAAAACTGAGGCATAACTTACGGTCAGTAGAGTGGACGGATCTTAAGTGCTCAGTGAATTCGCCCATAACTGCGTAACCATCACCCAGATCAAGATGTTGACCCTTCCTGCCACTCCAGATCCTTCCTCAAGCCCCTTCCTCGTCAATATCACCTTCCCAAAGGTACTCAGAATTCTAACTTCAGTCTCCATAGGTCAGCTTTGCCTCATATTGAATGTCATATAAGTAGATTCATGCAGTGTATACTCTTTTGTATCTGGCTGCGTTCACTGTCTGAAAGATTGATTTATGTTACTGCTGTATGGAGAGTCTTTTTCGTTTTTATTGCTGTATAGATGAATGTTCTGCTTAAATTTACAGACCATCCAAGATTTTTCAACCAGTTGTATGCTGGACTTGATTATTATTCCCTGGTGGCCCGATTTATGACAGAAGCATTAAACCCAAGTGTGTAAGTACCATTTTACTGGACTCTTACATAGAGTAAGAGATGTTTTTTAAGTAGATGAAGTTTTATTTCTTGAATTTCTATTTCATAGTTTCATTTGTACAGTGTCATCATAAATAATGGAATGACAGTATTTTAAAGAGCTATTTGATTTGATAGTGGTACTGTGGGATGGTTAATGCAGGCATGGTTATCTCCACTTAACAGATGAGAAAATTGATTAAGCAACTTGTCATCCATTCCTGCATGAAAAGCCATGTCTCTGCTAAGCGCCAGAGAGTTACTTTGAATAGAAGCAAATTTTGACTTGGCCTTCATGAAGCAAAGAGTCTAGTGAGATGGAGATACTCCATGGAAATTCATCAAAATTCTCCACACAAATTAATGTAAAATTTTAATTTGCATATGAAGAGGTAGATGATGCTATAAATATAAGTGGGACAATTTTTCCTAGTTGGGATCTCAGGAAAGTCTTCTCTGAAAAAATGACAACTAAGAGCTAAAGAATGAGTAAGGGTTTACTAGGTGAAAAGAGGCGAGATGAGTTTCAAACAGAGGGAACAGCATGCACAAATGCCCTGTGGCAGGAGGCAGAATGGTGTACCTTATGAACTGAAAGGTCAGTGAAGGTGTAGCTCAGAAAGCTATGGGGAGCATAATGGAGGATATGATTGGAGAAATGGATAGGAACCAGAAATGCAAGATCCAGTGGGCCATGTTTATGAGTTATTCCAAGTACAAAGGAAAGCCTTTAAAGGTTTCTAAATCATTAGATGCCATTTGCTTATTGAAAAGATCACTTGAAATATGGAGAGTGAATTGGAGGGGACCGAACAGGGGCATTATCTTAGGTGAGAGATGGCAGTAGCTTGAACTTAGACAGAAGTGGCAAGAAAAGAGAGAGAGAAAAATTGTTTAGAGGATAAAACAGAAAGGTCTGGATAATATATTGGACCTTGGGAATGAGGACAAGAAGGAGGTTTATACAATGATCCTTGGGTTTCTGGCTTTTTTAGCTGGGTTGATGGTCATGTCATTCATTGATATAAGAGGCATCAGAAGAGGGGACCAGTTTTCAGGGATGTGATGAAAAAGGCAAGAGCAATAATTTAATTTTCAGTTGCAAGAATTTGAGTTTGCAATGACTCTGAGCTATTCAAGAGTATGTATCAGCCAAGCTGAGAGATACACGGGCCTGGAATTCCGATATCTCTATGAAAGTTATCCAATTTAGGAATTACTGGGGAATGATGGTAATTGAAAAGGTATGTGTGGATGAGATTCCTTAAGTCAGTGAAGCTCAACTCTTCCTGTTCATCAGAATCAACCTGGGACATTTCCAAAAAATATATTGAGGCCTGGGTCCCAACTCAGACCAATTAAATCTGAATTTCTATGGCTGCGTCCCAAGCACTGATATATTTTCGAAACCAAACAAATGATTTTGATGAACAGGGTGAAGACACTTTGAACAAAAACAAACCAGGAGATGGAGAAGCAGTGTCTGCAAGACAGAATATAGAATGAGGACAGAAGCATAGGCCTGGGCCTTGAGGACATCTAATAATCTCATGGTTGGGAAGAAGAAGACCAGCCTACAGTGGAGAGACAGAGGAGGAGAAAATCAACCAGGAAGGCATGGAAGCCATGGAGGAGAGTGTGTCTAGAATCACAATACTATTGAGTGTTTAACTAAGACAGAGACTAAAAATTGTCCCTTGAATTGGCAACACAGATGTCATTGGTGACTTCAGTTAGAGAAGGCTTGGTGGGGTAATGCGAGATGATACCAGTTTATAGTGAGTAGAACAGTTAAGTGGTGGATGGACCAGGAGAGACAATAAAATTACCCAGCTCTCTGAACCTTTCCTTCTACGTCCCGGGTTTTCTAACTTCTCGTCTGGGTCCTTTTAGCTGAAACATGGAGCAATTTGCAAAGTATTAAGTTGTTGCTAAGCTGAACAATTCCACTCAAAATGTGAGCAAGCCATGAGAGCATCCCATATCGTGCTCTCTTCCAACTCCATGCCTGTCCCCAGGTTTACAGTTGAGCCAGCTTTCGAAGGCAGGTTTCATATTAATTTTTTTTTAAAGTGAACAATTATTTCACTTATATTTGCAGGTGCACATACACATAGACTTTCTCCCACACTTTTGATATATGTGAACTGGCTTCCTAGCATGGCTGAAAGTAGAACCTGGATTGTTTGCAAAATGACATGATGTCTGTAGAGCGCTTGGCACGTAGGGAGGTAGGGAGGTGACACCTAATAGGTGTTCTGTTTTTTTTTTGTTGTTGTTGTTGTTTCATTTCATTTTGTGTTTTTGTTTTGCCTCATTTCCAAAGTTTTCCCTTCTGGGTGTTAAAATATTCACATTCAATTCTGTGACTGCAAATCTAGGTGTGTCTGCCTGGCTTACATATTTGGAGTACAAGTTTATTCAGATACATTTTAATGTAATGGCTTAATTGTTAGAGGAGATTATAGGTAATTTAGTCACCCTCAAGTTACCTAGAGAAAGAAGAGACTCAAATATTATGAAACAAGGCATGGTAACCCTCCCAGGTGGGTTTCCCTGGGAAACTGCTCTAGATGGAGTTTAGTGAGCAAGGTGTTTATTAAGGAACGCCCTTGGGATACACATGGGTGATGGGAGGGTAAGGCAGCAGGAGTGGGCAGAGCCAGAAGTCAAGCCATCATGGGGCCTCAATGGCAACCCTGGCTGACTCCCTGGAGATCTCTGGAGCTATAGTGGCCCTTGAGAGTGGTCTGGAGTTGGGCCCATATGGCCAGGCCTTTAGACCTGGTTGTGACCTTGGGAAAGGTGGCTCCCTGCCGCTGAGGCAGTTCGTTCCCAAAGGGGCTAACTTCGTGTTCTCCACAACAGTGGTCCAGCCTGGAGCAACAAAACCTTCAAGGACAAGGGATTTGGGCAGTGCTTTGCAATAAAATCACATGATAAGAGATTTGGCCCCACAGAGCACTTCCCATTTGGGCCAGCACAGGAATGTAGTGGAGAAAACCCTAGTTCGGGATGAGTAGTTTCCCTGTAGAATAGCCAGAGCTGACTGTTAGGATACTCATGGTAGGAACCTAATAAAACCTGGTTACCATGACAATGGTTTCTCTTTTCTTTCTTTCTTTTTTTTTATTTATTTATTTGAGAGAAAGAGAGAGAGAGAGCAAGCACAAACTCGGGGGAGGGGCAGAGGGAGAGGGAGAAGCAGACCCGCTGCTGAGCAGGGAGCCCAATGTGGGCCTCAATCCCAGGACCCCGAGATCATGACCCAAGCTGAAGGCAGTTGCTCAACTGGTTGAGCCACCCAGGCACCTGACAAAGGTTTTTCTTTAACCAGCATCCAAAGCAGCATCCAAAGAATGAAATGGCCACGGCTCATGGCTAATACAAAGAATCTAGATGCACTGACTTTATTGCTCCCAGTGGACCTGAAGTCCTAAAAATTACGACTGCTGACGTCACTTGCATATCCCCAAGGCCCCCAGCTATTGTCATCTATCAAACCATGACTAGCACTATCACTGACTGCACATTTCTCTATTTCCAATTGGATAAATTTCCAAAGACTCTACCTGCACTTCCATAGCCACTTGGTTGAATAAAACTCTATGTGCATTTCTTGGGACACCAAAGGGATGGTTTGACTCTAGTCAGAGAAGTGAAGTGTTTTTTATATCTATCTAGTTATACGTATGAGGTGTCCCCAGTGTTTCTGTTAGTGGAAGAAGCGGTTCTGAAGAAAATGATTGAATTTATTGGCTGGAAAGAAGGGGATGGAATATTTAACCCAGGTAAGTACTGCTGGTTATTGCCATCTCCCTTCCACTGCAAACACTGAAACATTTATTCATGTGTTATATGAAGAACAGCTCCTTGAAGATTTACACGTTCCAAAAAGTTGGATAGGAATAATGCTACTTGTTGAGAATCTAGCTCGTTCCTTTCTCCAGAGTGGCAACGTTTTGCATAAATGCTAAACAACTGACGTAAACGTTAAACCAAGGAGATGTCTACAATTTAGGATTTATATCTTACAAATGAAATTATTTGCTGCTGGGAATTTGGAAGGGCTATAAATTTTTCAATCCATTCTACTTGAGAAGGTTTCTGAATCACATGTTGTTCGTCCTACAGTCCCTTCTTGGGACCAGAGATGAGCCTGTATTGTCATCTTATTGGTCAGGTGACAGACAGAATATCATTAACTATGAAGACGTGGGTACTGGCCCTTGTCCGTAGATTGAAACTTCTAGTTTGGAAAAACTCTGGAATGAGAGAAGAAACCCAAACTTCGGTCTTTGCTGAGATTGGAAATTGCTGTAATTGGGGGTTAGGAAGTGGGTGAGGCATGCATGGGTGGGGCATGCTGCTCAGATGACTCTTGGGGGATCCGTCGTTAGACTAGAACGGCCATAGCCATTCATGTCTTCCCCGGTGGTTGGCACTTAGGGAGCTATAATTTCATGCTATAAATATGCCATTTCAATTTTGTTTTTTGCAGGTGGTTCAGTGTCCAATATGTATGCAATGAATTTAGCTAGATACAAATATTGTCCTGATATTAAGGAAAAGGGGCTGTCTGGGTTGCCAAGATTAATCCTTTTCACATCTGCAGAGGTAAAAAATTATTTTTTATATCAGATACAGATTTTCTGAGAAAGCATTATTTAAGGGGGTTTGTTTGTTTGGGACTTCTGATATGCTTTTATCCTATCCTTGTGTGACTAATATGCCTAAGTGTAATGTCATATTTCATTCCAAAGGAAATTCTGATGGGTTTGATATTGTAACCCCTGGCCACTCAATTTTGTACATCACCTTTATTTAAAATTTATAGTCTATAACATTTTTCTCTGAGCAATGAGAACATTCAATTTGAAACTGCTATCTCTTCCTGTAAATCTCTTCTTTGAGTGCCTTATTTATTAGAACTCAGATGATCGCTCAGCTCTGTCAGAAGCCTCACATTTCCTTGTAAAACTGATTGCTTCAAATGTCTAACACAAAGGCTTTTCAAGAGGAAAGGGAGATACTCTGAAATGGTGAACATCACACACCCACCCCCCACTCCCCACATTGCATGTTGCCACAATCCGCTATGTCTTTTTACTCCTCACCAAAGTGGGGAGGTCTGATTGTGCGTTAAGTACATTGGCTTTGAGCTAGGCTGCCTGCGTTCAGTTCTTGTCGCCACTGCTAACTATCTGAGTGACCTTGGGAAAGTTGATTAACTCCTCTGTGCCTCAGTTTCCTAATTTGTTAAAATAAGTATCAGCTAGCTGTTGTCTCTAACAAATTACCCCAAAGCCCAGTGGTGTAGAACTAGAGCTAGATATCATTGCTTAACAAGTCTTGGGGTAGCTGGGACTGTTCTGCTGCTCTTGGCGGGGCTCCCTTATGTATCTGGGTGTTGGCTGCCCAATGGCTAAGGTAGGAGTGGGCCTGACCAAGATGACTCCAGTGAGGTCTCTCTGCTCCATGCATCTCTCATCCTCCAGCAGGCTAGTCCAGGTGTGTAGTCATGGTGGGGGTCCAGGGGAAAAACAACATGGACACCCACCAGGCCTCTTGAGTCTAGGCTCAGAGCTGGTACATGGTCATTTCCACCTCATTTTCCTCAGTGAGGTAAGTGATGTCAATGAGCCCAGATCCAAGAAGTGGGAAAACAGACTCCATCTTGTAGGTGGACTTGATGCAGAGTCCCCTGGCAAAGGGCATGGACACAGGGAGAAGGGAACCATTTAGGGCCATCATAACCACCCAGGAGCCACATGAGCTTAGTAGTCATGGCTAAGTGGGTTGTTGCAGAGACTGAATGAGCTAATGCATGGAAAGTAGCATCTGGCACATTATAGATACACAAAAATGTTAGCTAGTTTTCTTAGGAGGTGGAGAATTACCTAGCTGTCGTAATGTGGGTAGAATGGATAGCACAGCTGAAGTACAGTCTCATCTGAAAGAGATTACGTTTTTCCTTTCCTCTTCTTGTGCCATTCCAGTGGGTGCCTCTGTCTGTCCCACCACTGCTTCCTCCCCCCGTCCCTGGCAGGAAGAGTTTAGCTTCCATACCTTCTCTGATAATCCAAGGTCTCCTGTGAAACACACAAGGCTGGCAAACTCTAAATGTTCTCTCTTATTTCCAGCTGGGCTTTCCTGTATCTGTCATTTTCTTTTACGAGCATGATTTCCTTTATTATTGCCAAAGGGTAAATTGTGGACGAAGAGGTGGGCAGTGGAAGAAAACCTGGCCACCCCCCTCCCAGTGTTTTCCACCTGCCCTGGCTGACCTTTGCTCTGGTTAGTTCAGTGCCAAGTGCAAAGTGGGCGCTGAGTGTGGGGAGGTGTCTGGAAGAAATCATCTAATCTGAGATTCTTAACTCAGCCACCCGAAGCCCTTCTTCGTGAAAGCTTTTCTAGAGCAAGCGAAGAATGTTTGGGAATGGAGACATCTGGGGAAAACACTTGGTCCTTTGGGATTATTATGGAGTCGAGTTTCCCTTTCTGGGTTCCAGACTTTGGCATTTCAGTTGGAGGAAGCCAGCATATCCAAAATGCTAAGTCCCTTCTTTTGAATTGTTGCTCCCGTGCCTGAGAAAGCTGATTCAATAGGGCCCCTGCTTTCAGCTCAGTGCTATTACTTTTGCCTTCTTCATTCATTGGTTTAAAATGTACCTGAGGTCTCTTCTGGAATAACTGCTCTGGAAAGGGGGAAGGAATTCTATGGAAGCCTAGAATAAAGATTATGCCTGGGAGAGATCAGGGACATAGGTGTAGCCGGCAGATTGGGAGTGAAAAGAAATTGAAACCTCACGCAGTTGGGAAAACAGAACTAGTGTTATTATTTATTTTTTAATCTCCAGTGGAGATGTATATGCAAAAAGAGGTAAAATATATGCCCTGGCTAACATGGCAGCAGAAGATGGAGCCCGAAAACCAAGAACTAAATATACATCTTAGTTTACTTGGGTTGCTGTAACAAAATATCATAGACCAGCTGGTTTAAACAACTGACATTTATTCCTCACAGTTCTGGAGGGTGGGAAGTCCAAGTTCAAGGTGGTGGTAGATTTGGTTATCTGGTGAGAGCCTGTTTCCTTGTTTGGGGACCACCGTGTGCTCACATGGCCTTTCCTGGGCTCGTGCTAGGGGACAGAGGGAGAGGTCTCTGTCTTCTGTCCGGATAAGGGCAGTAATCCCATGAGAGTCTCACCCTCGTGACCTCATCCCAACCTAATCCTACCACATTGGGCGTTAGGGATTAAACACATGAATTTTGAGGGGACACAAGCATTCAGCTCATATCAATGTGAATGCCACAGAAAAACTCCATAGCTTCAAACACACGATAGCTCCAAATACAGATTTTTACCCCATTCATCCAGACTCTACCTGGTTGCTCATTCCTTTCCCTGCTCTGAGGTCATAATATTTGCATGATTTTAATTCATATTTTGGCAATCACCTTCACCACTTATTATAACAAGTCAATTCATCGATTAAAAACAGAAAAGAATTAAAGACGGTTGTGTTTCCTCAATGGTCTTAAGCCCTATGTTAGGCTTTCGGCTTTTTGCAAATCTTGTTTGCTTTTAGGTGTTGGCCATGGCCCTGTGGTTATTTTCCAGTACTGTTTATTGGGTGGCCTTCTTTTTCCTGTTTTTTTGTGGCCTCCAGGGTAACCACTCCATCCTCAGCTTGTACCATCAAATGCAGAGTATATGCACTCATCACTGGAGGTGTATTTGCATACTTGAGGTTTTGATTATAATTTCACTGTCCATGGAGACTTGGAACATCATGATAGAGTTCCCTGCACTGTCCATGTATCCACAGTAGCCTCCCCAGGCTGAATAGGAACCAAAGAGAAGGGACTTTTGGAGAAAAGTGATAAAAGTAATAAATTTGTGGCTTGATTAGCAGTTAGATATAAATTCCTTGAATTTAAAGAAATTGTAGGTTTATAATTCAAGTCCTTTTGGGGATCAGCATAAAGTAATGATCATTGTCTGCTACTAAAAAGTGAGGGAAGAAGAGAAACCCTGAGTCCCAGGCCAGCCAGCAGTCGGCCTTGTTCCTCTCTAGCAGAATGGAGGCTGCGATGGGGTGAGAGAGACCAGGGTACACTCCTCAAGGTCATGCCTCCTCACATACCTCATTCACTCACCCTCTTGGTGGCTCTTCTGTCTAGGCGAGTCTGACTGGAGTTTGGATGCTAGTGCAGGCATTCTCCCTCAGCGAGCAGGTGCTTCTTAGGACGTCAGGCGGAGCACAGAGTAGCCCATCTGAATTCTGACTCTGCTTTGGGAATTGAACCAGTTGTGTGCTCTTGGAGAGGTCCCTGTACTACATTCCTTTTCTTCATTCCCCAACAGAGGACATTTGCAGACCCCGGTTTCCCCACCACCTGGAGCTCATTTGAGCATCAGACTGGTCAGCCGTAGAAGGAGTCCAAGTGCCCAGCACACAATCTATGCGAGGGGGAAAGCCGCGGTTCCATGGAAAACCCAAGGTCAAAGAAAAAATCCTTGCAGGAACCAGAAAGGAAAATGTCAGTGCACTTCTGTCTTTCATAGGGGCACTTGCTGTTTCATCGTTATAGGAATAAATGCCCCCTGAGATCTGTGCGTCTTCCATAGACGAATGAAACCTGGAGGGGAGATTAGGTCTTAGAACGAATGACTGACTTATCTTTTGCCAGAGAGGGGAGCAAATACCATTTGTTTCTAAAGGCAGCAGCTACTTCTGAATTCCGGCCTTCTAGGTTTTTCCTTTCCTTGCAACTACTCAGCACATCTGAAGCATTGCCTTCTTTCTTTCTTTTCTTTTTCTTTTTTTTTCTCTTCCAGGGCTCTTTTCCTCTTCTGATGCCTTTAGATGTTTAGACTTCAGTTTTGCAGACATTTTTTTTTTTTATCTGTCCCTATCCATTTGAGATTGACATTGGATTCTACTTTGCCCTCAGGTAGCTAAATAAAGCTACTCTTCATCAGATTACCAGTTTTTTAATTCAGCAGACCCATTGGTTGGGGACACTTTGCTGTTTTTTAGGGCAAAGTAATGTGATTTTCCTTATTGGCAAATGCCAGTGGAATAGGCTACTCTTTATCACCATGAGATCAATAGTTGGTTGCTAGAGTCCAAGTCTCTGGTGACAAATAATTCACCTTGGCTATGTCACCCTAGCTACGGTGGGCTGATGTAGCAAGAAAAAAAAAAAAGCAAGTAGAGAATTAATTACATTTTCATGTACGTTCTTACTGCTCAATATGCATATGTTCTTCTAACAACTTGAAATGAGTGCATCGTGCAGGCATTTGGCCGTGTCCTATTTGATACCTGGAAATTAATTATGTAGGATGGTTTCATTTTTCCTGGTGCTGTTACTTCTGCATTTATTTTTACAGAGTTGAAAAAAAAAAGAGCTTCCAATAAAACTCTCTTGACAAAAGAAGAAAAAAAAATTACCACATTTGAGGGAATATATCAAGTTAAGTGTGAAGGCATGACTACTCTTTTAATGTATTCATACCTACAAATTAAATTACTAAGGGTTTTTGGTACAATAATGTCCTTTAGCACCTTCATTTTTCTGGCACGAGAAAGAATTAATTGACCACCTGTCCACACTAATGTATAAAGAGTGACATCTCCAATGTTTGAATGCTAATTATTTTATAGGCTTTATGTAGTAGGGAAGAAAAGGCCCAACAATCTAAGGCATATACTACCATTTACAGTAAGAACTAGACCAGACCTAATTCTAGAGCCTCTATTAGCCTCCTATTCATGCCAGGGCTACATAAAGTAAGGTGTCCATAAATTTTTATTACTTTTGTTATTATGATTTTAGCCACATTCCTCTGTGTCTAATTTCAATCTTACATTCAATATTAAATGAGATTGGTCAAGTGTATGATCAGCATTTATAACCCATTGTTTGCTCTTGAAAATAATTAAATTCTTCTGTGGTTTGCGATTTCAATTTTTGAAACAGAGTCTCGCTCCCTACTCAGAGGGTTTTGAGTCAGCAGTGGACTAGATTCCGTTTCCATTAATGTTGAGTATTATTAGTAGCATCAAGAGAAACTTCTCTCAATGCCAGGGAAAAACAACAGCTTCCAGTGACCAAGTTTGTTCCTTAGACCAGGCTCTGTGCTAAACCCTTTACATATACTAACCCATTGAGTTCTATGAAAAGCAGATGAATTAGGCACTGACACACCCACCTGAAATTAGCAAATTGAGGCTTGGAGAGTGTACATTATTTTCTCAAGATTCCATAGCTGTAACTGGGAAAACTTGAAACTATACCCTGGTTTCTCTGACCCCAACCAAAGTCAATGTTTTCAACCACTATATTAAGGAGCTCATTTGAATTATTACTTTCTTTTTCTTTTATGCAATAACGTTCCAAAGATTGGGCTCAGCCATATGACTTCAGATAATAAGCAATGGTTTTTTTCATGCTATGTATTCATGTTTTCCTTTTCCCCCTTGTCCCTTTTAATTTAGTGTCATTACTCTATGAAGAAAGCAGCCTCCTTTCTTGGGATTGGTACAGAGAATGTTTGCTTTGTGGAAACAGATGGAAGGTAATGGGGACAGGATCCGGAAGCCTGGTGGGCGGAGGGGAGAATTCATGCTTTTTAAAAAGCAGTACCAATGTTTGTTCATGACTAAACACACCTGAGTGCCTCAAATCTGTGTCTCCTAGAGGTAAGATGATACCTGCAGAGCTGGAGAGGCAAATCTGGCAAGCCAGCAAAGAGGTGAGAGGGGGAGGAAAATGTAGGCACGCGTCTGGGTATGAGGGAGGGAATGCAAACAGCCAGAATCGTTTCTGTGTGTGGGAGAGAGAAGAAAGCTTGTTAGAATTAAAATAGGGAAACTCATTTACAGATGTTCTATTTCCAGGTGCTTGGCTCTCCATGTTCTGTGCAGTTTCTCAGATGTTCTCATTCCCAGGTGGCTGGAGCCTATTAAAATGCTGACGTCACCATATTCCCGATTCTTGCCTAGAATTAGCCTTAAAAGATGAGCCCAGCCTCTGCAGCAGGGCCCCTGCATCCACTCTCCTACCTAACTATGGGCTGAAGTTCTGGAGGCCAGGCCAATTGTCTCTGGGTTGCCTTCAGAATGATTTCGATTTCTTGATCAGTCTGTGCTCCAGGTTGCTTCCACCCAAAGCCCATCACAGGAACCATCACCCTGTCTTGGGTCTGTGTCTAGTATGTCAGGTCTGGCAGAATGTCTGCTCTTCCTTCGCTGCCACAATATATTAAAGTTGGCATGGCCATTGCTGGGATGGCAAGGCCTTGCCCTACTCACCTGCTATACTCCAGCCAAGGCTGGGCCCTGACATGTTTGTGGTGTGCCATTGCCTTGGTGGCAGCCATCTTGCTTCTTGGACCAAAAGCCCGCTGGATTAGGTGCACCTGCTTCACTGCTTCCTCCCATCCCACCACAACTGTCACTGCTCTCGGAGCTTCAGACTGTTCCCCCACAACAGAGGTAGCAACAGAGTTGGGTGCAAAACCGCTAAAGCTGCTGACAACTGAAAAGCCTTGTTTTGAGCTGGGATAGAAGTATCTCTCTCTCTCTCTCTCCCTTTTTTCTGTTTAAAGATTTTATTTATTTATTTGAGAGAGACAGTGAGAGAGAGAGAGAGAGAGAGAAACGACTGTAAGCAGGGGGAGGGGCAGAGGGAGAAGCAGGCTCTCCACTGAGCACAGAGCCTGACATGGGGCTCGATTCCAGGACCCTGGGATCATGACCTGAGAGGAAGGCAGACACTTATCAACTGAGCCACCCAGGCGCCCTGAGGTATATCTCTCCTTCTAGGATTCCACACTCTAAGAAAGAAAAGCTCTTTTATTTTTGCTTTTTGTTTTAATACATTTCTGTTATTTTATTTTTCAATCACCTTGTCACCAGAGCATGCTAGTTCACTGTATTTGGTTTGAAATTCTGTACTTAAAAATTCTTTTCTTTTTTTAAAGATTTTATTTATTTATTTGACAGAGAGAGACACAGCGAGTGAGAGGGGACACAAGCAGGGGGAGTGGGAGAGGGAGAAGCAGGCTTCCCGCTGAGCAGGGAGCCCGATGCGGGGCTCAATCCCAGGACCCTGGGATCATGACCTGAGCCAAAGGCAGACGCTTAACGACTGAGCCACCCAGGTGCCCCTCTACTTAAAAATTCTGCCTTTATTACAGGTGTACTGGCTTCAGTTGTGTGTCCTTAGTTCTATATTTATCTCTCTCTCTCTCTCTTTCTTTTTTTAACATTCCAATAACAAGAGGACTTGAAACCTGTCTGGTGAGATAGATTATCAGATTTCATTCACTCTTGGGTAAAATTCTGTATTACAACCTGTTTGTTCTGCTGTGAACCACGGATATTGTGTTCTAATTTTATCTTTTTTTTTTTCTAGTTTTATCTTCTACAGAAGTTCCTATCAAAGAGAACTTTGTTTATGTCATCAATGCTTCTTGGTGGGGTGGGGGTGTGTGTGGAAATATTGACTGTGATTTCTGTGGGGTTCATATGATTCCTTCCTTCCTCTCTCCCCCCTCTCTTTTTCTCTCTTTCTTTCCTTCTTGAATTGTAAACTTTTCATTATGGAAAATTTCAAATATATAAAAACTAATCTAACGAGCCTCTATATACCCATCATGCAACTTCAACAACTGTGAGCTTCTGCCCTGTTCTGCCTCTGCTCTGTTTTCTCTGTACCCCATCCCCTCCCACCACCACTAAATTAGTTTGAAGCAAATCTCACACATCATACCATTTGATCTATAAATAGTTCAGTATATCTGTAAAAAGGTATGTACTCTCTCTTTATTAAAAGAAAAAAAACCACACACCATTACAAGAAATAAATTCTTAGTATCATCAAATTTTCATTCTATATTAAAATTTTTCCTCTTGCATTTTTTTAATAGCTGGCTTGTTTGAATAAGGATTCAAGGTCCATATGTTGCATTTGGTTGATTCATCACACAAATCTTTTCTAATCTGTAGCTTCTCCCTCCTCCTTTTTTCTCTCCCTGCAATTGATCTGTTGAAGAAACCAAGTCCTTTATCTTGTAGAGTTTTCCATAAGAGTTTTGTGGATCTTGTAGATTATGTCAAGAATTTGAGAATCTAAGTGCTTCCTCCCCTGTACAATCTATCTGTTCTCTATATATCCTGTAATTTGGCAGTGGGATCTTGAGACTCAGTGGGATTTAGATTGGAAATTTTACGAGGAAGGCTTCACAGGTGGCATTTTGTCCTTCAATCGGGACACATCTCCTGTCTCTTTTCGTGCTAACATTGATCGGTGGGTTCTTGTATTATGGGTGCATCTATTACAGAGCTCCGCATCAGCCTCTCACCTCATGATTTTTGCTGCCATTGATGATCATTGTCTAGACCCATTATTTCATTAGGTGATTTCTCATTTGTTCTCTCGTTCCTCCTTCATTCAGTAGGCTTACTACCAGGAAGGAAAACCTTCCCTCATTCTTCTTTGGTTTCCCTAAGGAAACCGTTTGCACAACCAGGGCAGGATAAATGATTGATTCTTCCCCCTTGTGTACCAGTTTTCAGAATAGTGAGTTAGTTGCCTCGCATCTCCTAAAGACAGCCAACATGATTTTTCTTTTTTAGAATCATTAGGAATAATCTAGCGTATTTGATGGGTTTCATTCCATGGCAGTCATTGTTATTTTCATTGTTCAAATTTTTGTTTGTTTCGGCAATGAAAGTACATGAAACTGACATATCCTGAAGTTGAGAACTTGAAAAGAGAAGTTTTGGAAAAGTGAAAATTGCTTTAGTCACATTCAAAAGTAGGGCCATGGAGTGAGAGTTGTTATGTCTCCTCAGTTTTCTTTCAAGTTAGTTAAAACTTGAGCCTGGATTCACCAAGGACAAACCTTGTATCCATTCTGAGATAATACCTGGTGATTAGTTTATTTACTTTTTTTTTCAACAGCTTTAGGCCTAGCTCTTTTGTGTCAAGCTTTGAGATCATATTGTTACAGATGTGGGGATAGTACATCAAATTTTTTTCCTGCTGGGATTCAGTTCCCTGGCCCACCACAATCCATTAAAAATCTGTTGAGCAGTGACCTTTACTTGACGCCATTCCAAAGATGGTGAAAACCACAGAAGCATCAGAGGTTCTAAAGTTCTCAAGAAAAGATCAGACTCGTATAACCACTGAATATTTGAAAGTATTTTTTGTGTATGAGTGTTTCACATGACAAACTTTCTTAGGGAATACAGTTCATCAGCAGCACACAATCAATACTGTTTCCACTGAATTTTCTCATTAATAGCAGGAGATACAAGAAAGGAAAAAAAGAAGGTTGGAAGGTTAAATCCAGACTGTAAAAGTTTGATGTCTGGGGCCTGATATTTATAGCTAGATTGTTAAAAAGGTGAGGAAAACTCATTAATAGGCTATAATAGCTTGCAAAAGTATTTTCTCACAACTGCCAGGGTGTCACATAGTTTACAAGGAACACTCCAAACATTAAAGACACCTTCCGTGTTTTTAGGAAATTACTTTTTCTCTTCCTTTTAATGATTGATGTAAATCTGGTCTCATTTTATTTCGGTCACTGACATGATAAAGATGTAATCTGTGGGTAGTTGAGCACAGGGAAGAATTCCCAAAGCAGGTGGTTCCCCAGGGGCTCCATCACCCACTGGCCCTGCTCTAACAGTTTCCTGTGGACTGGATTCCATATGTCACAACCGTCTCCCCAGATGGCAAATGGATTCATTGGGTACCATCACTTTGTTTCCTTTGCATCTTGATATAAAGATGTGGCCCAAGTGTCATTGCTCTGCCCCACTTTCTATTGAGAAATAACTCCTTTCTGTCAAAGGTCAGCTAAATTGGAAGGAGTCTGGTTCAAAAAGAATAACTCCTGACATTAAATGGGACATAAAAATATATTGCAAGAACAACTGAGCTTTAAGATAAAACCAAGAGAACAAAATGACTCCATCCTAAATGGAGGGAAAATGACTTTTATAGGCAGGGAACGCTCTTGTCCCTTAGTCCTCAAGGGCTCTAGTCTTAGGGTTCTCATCCCTTCCCCAACCCCTAACTTTGTCTGCAAATTGTCCCTCCAGGGCACTTCCACAGTGAGCAGTACATCTTTGCTGACATGCTGGGGCAAATCTGTGAGGAAACAACCTCACGCTCTTCTCTCTACTTGGCTGTTATAAAGTTCCTTATGGGGCCAGGGTGTTTGGCTAGCTTGGCCGGAATTACCATCCATCTCTGTGTATCTTCCCACAGTTTCCCTTCTCCCCGACCCCCAACCTGTGTTGCCCTCTGGCACCTCTTCACTCTATAAGGTGCAGCCATCAGCTGTATGAAGAGGCAGAGTCATGGTAGGAGTGATGCAGGTTCTCTTTTCTAGAACATTCTAATGGATTTCTCTGTTGGGGCACCCATTTTGGAGAGTGTATCCTGATGAGGTTACACTATCCCCATTTGTTGCCAATTTGTACCTGATCACTCTCTTTGTTTTGTAACTGCACTTACTTGATGAGGAGACAGGCAGATAGACCTCTGTGGTTTGCACCTCGAGCTGTTTATTTTCCAATCACCTTTGCTTTTATTTTGTGGAGGTGTAACAATGCTGGCATTCGGGCCCCACTGAATCACCCCCAAAAGGAGGTAGGAATCACACAGAAGGCCATTTTGCAATTGCAGTGGAGGTTACTCACTTTGTATGTGGGAAATCTGAAGAACAAACACTTCAGAAAGTAAATGAGAGTAAAAACAGTTAAAGGTGCATGTGGAGTTGGGACAAAAGACTCTTGTTGTCATAGCATAGTCTCGGTTTCCTTGACCTCTTGGAAAGGACAAGGGGCCATATTGTAGAGAAGCTGAAAAACACTGTGTCTGAATGGTTACCTCCAAAGGAACCAGATAAATTTTTGTCTGCATAACCATTATGTTTACCAACCTACTACAGGACAGACTTAGTGGTGATGGTGACGGTTCTTGTGTGTGGGTCCTCCTCACAGGGAGCAGCTCCGTTTCTCGTCTGTGCCACGTCTGGTACAACTGTGTTGGGAGCCTTTGATCCTCTGGATGAAATAGCAGACATCTGTGAGAGGCATGGCCTCTGGCTTCATGTGGACGTAAGTGCATTTGTATGTGCACGTTGGGTTAACTTTCTAGTCTATTTGCAGCTTTGGTGGGAAATCTTTTGTGTTCTCAGAAACTAGACGTGAGGTCCCCAGCTACTTTTATTTAAGTGTGTATTTCTAATTAAGGGAAATAAATCTGCCTTTTCCCATAAGGTAATAGAGAAGAAGATGCCAAGACTTGATGTAAATTTTGGTTTTGTTTTCCAGAGTCCATTTTATTTCCTTTTCTCCCATGAACCATTCTCTTTGGTCCCTTGCATCTGCTGTCACCGAGGCAGCATGGGATGAGGGACACATTGAACTACAAAATCAAGAGACTTTGACTTTGGGCTCCAATCGGCCTCTTCTTCATTGCAACCTTAGTTGTTTGGGCTTTGGTTTCATTTATAAAGACGGAAGTGGCTGATGTGGTCTGTAAAGTATCTTATAGCTCTGAGATTACATGATTCCAATGAGCCGGAAAATGCAAACAGCTGCATTAATAATTGCATGCTATCATTAAAGCAGGTTTTATCTGGATCCATCATAGACAATTATTTGAGAGGGATTGGGATAACTTACATTCTTCATAATTTTCTGACTTAAAGAGTTGGCTTTTTTTTTCTAACTGATTTTGTAAGTCCTGGCGTTGTTCATAATAAATTTTTTTCTTAATTAAAGGTAACTCTTTAAATTCTACTCATCCAGGGTTAAAAATCTGAATTCAGACAGTTATGAATGTTTGTTGAGCTTTTTGGGTTTTCTTTTTTCTTTCTTTCTTTTTTTTTTTTTTTTTGTAAAACTAGGAGCTAATTAGTTTGATTCAGTCCAATAGAAGGGACAGTTGAAACTGCTGATGACACTATAGGGAACTTTCTTCTGGTAAGTGAATGATTCATAGCCTACTTAGCAGAAAAAAAAGAACACTATTTTTGACTTTTTGGACGGAAGGTAACAGCATTTGGGGGATATACCCACACATACTTTTATAGTTTGTATGATCTTGGGCTTTCAAAGTAAAGTGTCTTCGTTACAGAGAGAATTTTTCAGCAGCTCAAGGCTTTCATTAAGCATATGCTAATACTCGGTAAAAGCAGCCATGATATAAAGCTCACTCAAGTTACGGGCTCTATTAGTATGCCAGTGGCAATCCTTCAGGTAGATTATTTGTGACTTTAAATGGGATTGTAGCATTTGTATCTGTTCACATTTCAACTTTTATCTTATTGATTTTTATAGACTTCGGAGCATAATAATACATTATGTCCTAAAAGATCATATGAAGTGAGTACTTTGTGACTGTGGAAATAAAGGGGGAAAATCAAATCTATCAGCAGTTTTACTTAAAAATTCCATTCTCATAAAAGGAACATCAAATATGGATTCTATAGTTTATGCAAAGCATTGCAAGTACAGCAATTTCTAAATTGGGAATGAGATTAAGAAACTTAAGAGAGGCTCAGAGAGAATTGTGACTTAGAAGTATGAATGAAAACCTCCCTAGATTTTCTAAAAAAAAAAACATGGAGGTGGGATTTTTGAAGGAAACCCTTTTATGAGGAAATGTTTAAGCCACACAAATTATTCGATTTGCACATAGTAGGCATTTAGTAGTATTAGACAGAATTGGACAACAGTTCATCTGACCTGGTAAAGAAATTAACTCTCACATTGAGACAATATTCACTCATGCTTTAATATGACAGGCTGGATATAAGGTAATATTACATTATATCATTATTGTAATAATACTGAATCTGTTGATAAAATTTGATAAAGGAGAGCGTAGCTTATCTTGAAGAAACGTCATACACCATGTATAGTTTATTAAAGTTAAAGATAAAAATCAACAAAATTGCAGTAGTTACCTTGGCCTGTTTGAAATTTTCTAGAAAATATTTTAAAAATCCTTTAAAATATTAAAACTGGCATCTACTTTATCTTTTTTTAACTGTAATTATGGTTGCTGATCCTCCTGGGTATTTCATAAAATCGAGTTGCCCTGCCTATGTAACATATTTTATTCATTCTAAGATGCACTGGTTTTGTTTACATTTTTATGGAGCTGAAGTTGGTATATTGTTGTCATTTTTTTTTTCTTTGTGGTACACAAAAAATGGAGAATCTTACATTGGATAGTGTCTTATGTTTGGTTAATTACAATGCTTCTTTACACAACAGCATAAGGAAAACTTTAGTTTTCTCTTTCTCCAGGAGGGCAAATGTTACTTCAGCCTCTGCCTCAGACTAGAAAGTTCCGGCTGGTCTAGCTCTTCTCTGAGGCAGAGGCTGTGGCTGCTGCAAAACTTGGCGCTCCCAGCAGAGCGTCCTCACGTGTCCCACCCACTGTTCGTTCCAAGTTCCAGGGGAGGTAGGAAACACTGTATTTAAAGTCAGGGGCTTTAGAAGCTGCCAGATCTCAATTCCACCCTTGCCTCCACTTCCCTGTGTGGATTGGTCTTACTATTAATTTCTTAACTCATAAATGAATTAAAGAGAAAAATGCTAAGTAACATGGTAAGTGTGGTGCCCAACAGGTAGGCTTAGCTCCCTAAATGACGGTCCCCCCGAGGTGAAAAACCTTGCTTCTTCAACATTTAGGTAAATGGTTTGCTGTTTTTGCAAGTTTGAGGGTTAGGAATTCAGAAAGTGAAGCAAATAGAAGTAGGGCACTGCCCTCGGGGCTGTGGTTCTTCTCCCGTCAGCTCTTTTGAGGACCAAGTCTGTGGAGGAGCTGTTCCTGACCCTGCCAAGCCCCTCTAAACCAGGGAGCTAATGCCTCGAAAGAGTTGATGTGATTTTAAAACTTCCATGCACTGGGATTGGGAGCATTTGTTTATTTTTGGGGGGAGGAAGAGGAGGCAGAAGGTGGTGCAGGAGAAGGGAAGGTGTGTGAGTGTGGTGTGCGAGCCTCCTGAGCTCACCTCCTTCCATCACCCTCAGCTCCCCACGCTGTATTCTACCATGGGGACCTAAGCTATGATGTTATCCTGAAGCAGGCATGGGCTTTGGCTCCCAAATCTAATACTTAATGCCTGTGAGAACTCGGACAAGTCACCTCCCACCTCTGAACCTTAATTTTTCCACTAAAAGTTTGAGGTAATAATGACTCCATTCCCAAGGCAACATTGTGTGGTTTTGATAACCATGGAGGCATTCAACAGAGCCCCAGCTGGTCCCCTCAAATTTCCTCACAGCCATCACCCTTCCTCACCCTACAGATTAAAACTTAGAAGTCTGCTCAGTTGCAAGGACCAGACTGACTTCCTTATTAGCCACATTGATCCCCCTCCATTCCCTCCAGATTTCCTGACTGTGGGGCTTCCTTCCATTTCCTACTTTCAGCCATCTTGTCCTTTGTTCATAATGTGTAAGTCTCCAGTGTACATCTTCCCAAAGTCCCGGGTTTCCTTTCTCTCACTCTTAGATTTTTGATGGGCAAAGCCTTCTGAAAGCTGTTTGACTGAAAAGATCTAATTAATAGGATCCACCTAGGTCCTTCTCGTTGGCCATGAGTTCCTGTGTACCCCTCTATCCACCCTGTCAAGCATGAGCTGCATTTATTATTCCAAAGGTCAGCCCTCAGCCCATGCCTCACTATCAGCATTTGTACGTTGTGTCTGGGAGAACGCCAGCCAGCATTGCCAAGCATATTGTCTACTTTACTCTTCAATATGGAGAACAAACTGGTGGTTGCCACGCAGGTGGGTTGGGGGGCGGGTGAAATAGGTGAAGGGGATGAAGAGGCACAAAATTCCTGTTATAAAATAAAGAAATCACAGAGATGAAAAGTACAGCATAAGGAAAGTAGTCAATAATATTGTAATAACGATGTATGGTGACAGATGGTGACTATACTTATCTTGCTGAGCACGCAGTGATGTATAGAAGTGTCAAATTACTATGTCGTACACTTGAAACTAATATATAACATTGCATAGCAGCTATGCTTCAATAATGATACTGCAAAGTAAAAACAAAGGAGATTGTCTCTTAGATTCTAGATTAGAGAAGGCATAGACTGTGTCTTTTAAATCACTTTTTTGTCCACACACAAGCCAACAGGTAAATATACCAATTTCTTTATGATGTGTGAATTTAAATCCTAAGGGTCCAGGGGCGGCCATCTACTGTGATGAGGCTCTCCTTGCCCGAGGGAGAGCCAGTGAGCAAAAGTGTTTCGTGTGTACATTGCTTAACATCTGCTTAAAACAAAGTATGGAGTAAGGCACATCAAGGTTGTTACTCAGAGTTTTCTATGTCAGTGGACTGGCCAACAAATAACATTGAAATAACATTGTTGTGATTATGTAAATATCTCAACAGGCTTCTTGGGGTGGCTCAGCTTTGATGTCGAGGAAGTACCGCAGGCTTCTGCAGGGCATCCACAGGTAAATGTTGTTTGGGGGCCCAGCACCTCTTTTTTAGGCGAGGGAACCTCTCTGGATCTTGCACGCTTAAGTGACACGGTGAAAACACAGAGACAAAGTAACTGTTTTCCTTGAAAACTCCAAGCTCCCCCAAAGGACTCAAACCAGCAATCCCGTTGAGAACTTGAATACTTATGCTGCTAATGAAAGTATTCTTTCCTCCAGTAGAAGCACATTAAGTTCCCTCCTTCCCTTGTCCTTTTTCTTTTGCATAACAGAGCTGACTCCGTGGCCTGGAACCCCCACAAGATGCTGATGGCTGGAATTCAGTGCAGCGCTCTCCTGGTAAAAGACAAATCTGTGAGTTTTCCTCTTCTGGCCTTTGGACTTCGAAGGGGGTTAAACTAGTTTGCAGAGGACTCATTTTTGCTTACATTTTGGTGCTTTGGGACCGATATAGATGAAGGTCTTTGGTAAATGTTGGTGGCATGGAAAGGAAAAATAAACAGACTCAGATAAAAAAAAAAATCTAGTGTTTCTGCTCAGGTGATTCTGTGGATTAGATTTCGGTATTATATAATCTCATTAGTTATAGCAAAATGGTCTCTCTTGCCCTCATTTGGATTATATTTTAAACCTCAGTTTTAAACATTGCCAAGATTTTGTTCTCCTTGATTAAGTCTGGGATTTAAGTTATCTTGAAACTTCTGCTTGCTGAGAAAGTGGAACAGATGTGTGTCATACATTAAATTGAATGCTTAATATGCTTAGCTAGGGCTTAACAGTGCATTTATACAGGAAGATGTTAGTTCAGGGCTGATCACCGAACACAGATTTATTAGCTTCTTTGGGAACATTGCGGGGAGTTTGGAAACATGTCTGGATCATGGTGGGGCAAGTGGGAAGGAGTTGCTGAGTTTCTCCTGGCCACAGGTATAAACCCCATGTATTTTTTTCTGGGTAAAATAAGGATTCTTGTGGGAAGTGGCCCAGGCTGGGAAGTGCCACTTCATTCTTAGAAATGCCTCCTCAAGATATGTGTGCAGCATGTGGGTGATCTTTCTCAGCCATCTGTTTACATTTTTTTCTTAGGGGACTCCCTTTGCCAATGCTAAAGTCATTTTCTCTTTTTGAGGAATTTTATTTCAAATGAAAGCCATATTTAAAATTAAAACCTAGTCTTGCATGTGCAGATATTTACAACTCTCTTTAAAAATGAATTGTGACATTTGTATGTCAGAGCCCTTTGTGTTTTGAGATGTCCAAACAGAATATGGTAGGGGCCAAGGGCAGGCCTCCCAAACTGTATCCCAATGGCATATTGATTATTTTGAATGGAAGGTACTTGGGAATTAGCCAGTGCAAGGACACTGGGCCCCCCTCTGTCCTCCTGAAAGCAAGAAACAAATCTCCCTTATGAAAGGTACCCACCCCGTAGTAAGAAGTAAGAAGACATCTTACCACCAGAGATGGCAACTTTAAAGCCAAGAAACCTGTAGAAACAAACCTGTTACTTTTTTACTAATCCACTACCTCAGCCCAAATTCTGCTTAGAATTCCTTATTAATTAAAACTCCCAAACATCTGTTTTCTTTATCCTGTCCATTCCTCACAAATTTATTGTCTCACTGTCTGAAATGTATAAAAACAGTCGTGGTCATTTGTTTGAGTCTCAATCTCATTATTTGGCCTCCATGTGCACATCATAAAACTTGTTTTTGTTTTTGTTTTTTTCCTGTTAATCTGTCTTCATGTAAATTTAATTCTTAGTCCAGCTAGAGGAACCTAGGACAAAAAAAAATTTCTTCCTCCCCTTCAGGATCCATCAGAAACTATGAACAGATTCTACACTTAGAGATAGAGACACTTTTGGAAATATGAATTGATTTCCTAATATTTTATGAGGTTGGCTATTGTTGGCTATATTCAATTCCATTTCACTTTTTTGCATTTAACTCCTTAAGTTATGACTTCATTTTATAACGGAAAGGTAAAGATTACTGCATCATTGTGAACCAAGGAACATCCTCAGGTTACCTGTACTTACATATTTAGGACATGACGGAGTTAGGAATAGACCAAGGTTTTCCCTTGCTCTAGATATAAGAACAAAAATATGTCAAGCATCCCTTATGTGCCAGACGTTCTACATCTGCCTTCTCCTCAGTCAGCTGATCTGAATGACATCCTTATCTGTTGGTGTGATGCTCTCAGAAGTAGAAAATTCAGACCCCAAATTTTATGACTACTCTTTTAAATAATGTTCTAGCTTTTATACGTTTTTCTTGTCAAATGATATTTGAGTGATTTAGCCAAGAATTGATTTGCATTTATGTACTTGAGGCAACTCAAAATTTTCTAGATCATCTAACTCTATTACAGGGCTGATAATTTTATTTTATTTTTTTTAAAGAGTTTATTCCTGGATCTCAATTAAAAACAACACCCATGTCAACTCACATGGCAGGAATTAAGAAGTTAGGAAAATTGCATGCATTGTGCAAAGGATTGAATACTTTTACCATTTTTTTAAAATAAAAGATTATTTTTAAATTAACTGGAATGGAGACTGAACCATGAGAGATGAGATATGACAATCAGCTTAAGAAGTTTTGCATTGGCCATCTTCTGTCTCTTTTGTACCTATTTTCTGCCTCTGTTCTCTTTCATACTCATTCATTCATCATTCAAGCAACACTAACTGACTTCCTGTGTAGGCCAGGTGCTGTGCTAATTCTGGGCTTATGAAAGAGAAACATTCCCTGTAGTCAAAGAGCTCATAATCTTACAGAGGAGACAATGAACAAAATGTTCCCATTTAATTCTTTATTATTTTGATAAGTGGTCCGAGGATGTGTTAGATGCTGTTGATCATGTATTCTATAGCCATTCCAACCTCCTTCCCTTCTCCCTCCCGATACCCATCTAATCAGGCTCCCTTGCACTGGGAACCACCATATGATAGTTGTGGTCAGTACGTTATAGAGGAAATGTGAGGAGGCTCTTGAGAAAGGTTTTACTTGCAGCTAGGGGTGATACACATAAGAGGAGAGCATCCTCTCCCTTACTTCTGTCTTGAATGCTGTTGATTCAGAGCATGATACATGGAGCTCTGATAGCCACCTAGCAACCATAAGATGATGCCCCTAAATCAAAAGGTGAACGTGCACAGAATGGCAGAGCAGAAAGGGGCAAGTTGTGGTCTTGAATAACGATTTTGAAATGTTTCACGAATCCTGGGAGTGATGACTTGCAAACATTTTGTGGTATGGGGGTCATTAAATGTTATTATTGCTGAAACCACTTCCCTTGGGTAATCTGTCTCTTGCAGCCAAATGCACTCCTATCTGATACAGAACAGAGTGTGGTACTCAGAGAATACATAGCAGGGGGACCTGGGATGTTTCGGGTGGAAGAAACAGAACATACACAGTTTTTAAGAAAGGAAGGTCCTTTTCGTTTTGTTTTATTTTTAATATTTTTTAAAGATTTTATTTATTTGAGAGAGAGAGAGCAACTGAACCGGGGGGGGAGGGGCAGAGGGACGAGCAGACTCTCCGATGAATGCGGAGCCCGACACGGGGTTCAATCCCAGAACCCTGAGATGATGACCTGAGCCGAAGTCAGATGCTTCATTGACTCAGACACCCAGGTGCCCCAGGAAGATCCTTTTGATTTTAGGAACTGAGAAAAGTCCATTGTAGCTGAAGCCCAGAGAATAATACTAAGACTGACACGAGACAAGGCAGTGGATAGAATTAGCACAGCACCTGGCCTTCAACCATTTTAATGATTTTAGACTTGATCTTCAGAACAAAGAAAGAATTTTAAAACCACGGAGTAATCTGAAAAGATTTTCATTTAAGACAAAGAATTGGAGGTGGACAAGAATGGATGCAAGAATAAGAAGAAGCTTGCAGTATCCAAGCAAAAGTTGATGGCAGGGGAGATGGAAAAATGTGATGAAATTCAAGATCTACTTTACCAATCCACTGGACAGGGCTGAATTACCAGTTATATGTGGGAGATGAGGAAGAAGCAAGTGTCATAGTTGACTATCTGCTTATTGATATGGCAACTGAGTGAATGTTCCTGTGTGGACAGATGGAAATTGCTGGAGGAGGAGAAGATTTGAGAGTGAAATATCTTGATTTTAGCATTGGCTACATTAAATTTGGAATTCCTATGAAGTTTTCAAGTGAAAGCAGTTGACATGTAGATCCAGAGCTAGGAAAAGGGGTCTGGGCTGGAAAAGTATATTGGGAGTGGTTGACATGTAGATGTTCTCCAAGGTCCCTGAAGTGGAATGGATTGCCTTGGGAGGACCTCGGGAGTGAGAAGAAAAGCGGGTATAGAACTTAGTCCTGAGGAGCTTCAGAGTCTATGAAAGCTGAGGTCGGAACGGCCGGGGAGATAGGAGGAACATCAGGAAAGAGTGTCACTTATGAAATACTCTTTGAGCGTTGAGTATTATGAGGAGTGTGCATGACTGTCACCCTTTGTGTTGAAGCCGAAATGTCACCTCCTTAAGGAAGAGATCCCAGACTCTCCAGCTGGACTGGCATCTCCCCATTATTCTTTCTCAGACCCCGTGCCCTTCCTGTAAGTGCACATCATGATTTGTAGTTATGATTTCCCATGTATTAACTTCTCTTCTTTCTAGAACATATGCTGTTTGAAGATAGGGACTCTGCCATCATATATGCCGCTGTATCCGCAGTGCCTAGCAAGGATTCACTGAACAAGGACAAAATTAAAATTCACTGAAAAATTTAATGCTTAAATGAATGAAAAAGCCTCAGAAATATTTGCCATCATGTCAGCAATTACTAGCAGCTCCCAGTTTCTCCCCTCTCCCAAATTATTCCTTTTGAGAGCTCTGAGATAACAAGGATGAAAATTGCAATTGATGAGTTTTATTGCCATGGTCCTAACACAAGGCTTGAGCGTGCCTCCAACGGTAATTGATGAATAGCGGTTTTAATTTGGACTTACTTCTCCAGTTAATGGAAGGGGATAACTCTAGTTAAAAGAAAGCAAATTACTTAGTGAGTATACTTCTGTTAGGGGAAAAACTAATTCCCTAATTTGTACCCTCAAAGCCCTGACATTCACAATGCTGTTTTCCTGATTGACCAGCTGTGGTGTTTGCATTTTGAATGCCCTGTGTTAGTAAAGAAGACTACTTCCAAAACCAAGCCGAGCTGCTCCTCTCAGAGTTGTACTATCACTGACCATCTATGCTTCATAGGGACAAAAAGAAAATCAGACATTGAAAAAACAAACTGTGATTATAAATAGGTTGACTTCAGATGTAAATGCTGGCACTACATGGCTGTTTTGGATCAAAGACAATTTTG